CACAAAGGGAAGGATCTGAAGTTTATGAGGATTGACAATGGAAAGGAATATGTCAATGAAGAGGTAAAGGAATACCTCCAGGACAATGGCATACAGTTGGAATTGACTGCAGCATACTCTTCATCTCAAAACAGAGTTGCTGAGAGAATAAATTGGACTCTTGTGGAGCATGCATGCACCATGCTAGAAGAACATCACTTACTGAAGTTTCTATGGCCCGAGGCAGTGGCATATGCCATATATTTGAAGAACCGATCACCAACCAGAGCCATCAAGAATGATTTAACCCCAGAAGAAGTGTTTCAGGGCATGAAACCAGATATTTCAGCACTTCAGGAATTTGGAGTAAAGTGCTGGGTGTTGCAGCAAGATAACAAGAGGTCAAAACTGGACCCAAAGTCAAGAGAATTTATTTTCACAGGTCTTACAGATGAATCCAGGGCCTGGAGATATTATAACCCTCAAACCAGGCAGATTCAGACCTCAAGAAATGTTATATTCCTTGAAAGCAACACTACAGAGTCTATAGACACTGACTATGTAGTCTCCCATTCTTCGTCGCTTGAGGGGGAGTCAGAGAGCAAAGTTGAGCAGACTCTGAATGAAAATGATGGCATTTCGGACAATTCTGTGGATGCCAGAAATGCTGAACCAAAAGAGGAAATAGCCCCTGATGTGTCATTGATCAAATCAAATTTTCTAATATGGCATAGGAAAGTGATCAAGCTATGTGACAAATCGATCCGGATTGCATCAAAGACTCAACCGAGTTACCAGACACTTCATAATCCAAGTGTACAAGCTGTGAAAACATCAAAACAACAGCGTACCTCAGAAGAATCATCTTTGGAAGCTGTAAATGTTGCAATAGACTATGCATGCATTGGGAAAACTGCAGACAATCTCAGTGATGAGCCATTAAGCCTTGAAGAAGCCAAAACAAGGCCAGACTGGCATCATTGGAAAAAAGCAATGGATGAAGAATACAATCTATTGACTTCCCTAGGCACATGGCAACTGAAAGAATTACCCAAGGACAGATCACTTGTGGATTGCAAGTGGACTTACAGATTGAAAAGGGATGGTGATGGGAAAATCACCAGATACAAGGTCAGACTTGTTGCAAAAGGATTTTCACAGGTACCCGGCATTGATTTCTTTGAGACATATGCACCAGTTGTCAGGCTGGACATATTTCGCCTACTCATGGCAATTGCTGCTCAAAGAAACCTAATCATTCATGGAATGGATGTTGTTGGAGCTTACTTAAATGGTAAACTCAATGAATCCATTTATATGGCACAGCCACCTGAATATT